TGCATTTATGTGAAAAAAAACATGGACGACCTTGAAAAAACCATTAAAACATGACACTTATAAAAAATTGTTTATGTTTCTAGATCATAGATAGAGAAGATATTTAGGTGCCCTGTTTTAAGCGGAACACCCTGTGTATTACTATTAATTACTAAAAAAAAAAAGTTGGAAAGTTCGAGTACGTCATCGTTGCAGCAAAATGATCAATATGTATATGTCGAGAGAACGCGAGAATAGAAATTTTCAGGGTGACATTTGAGCGAGCGTGACAAGATGGCGCCACACGGCGGAGACGATTACTCCAACAAAATGGCGTGTCCACTATCGATCTTCAACGAAGTGTATGTATCCAAGCAGTTCTTTAATGGACAGAGATGTGTGTTCGGAGGGGACGGAGGAAATAGTCATGAAATGTGTGTAAAAAATGTGTCGATATAATATATCGTTTGAAGCTTACTGGATATGCCATCAGCATTGGAACATTGTGGAGAGGGGTGGGGGGCGAAAGAGGCTCGCAGAGTGCGGTGAATAAAAAATATAACAAGATAGCTGCGCCCAGCTGGCGACAGCCGTAGGAGAATACGTATTAAAAATCGCTGAGATACTCAACTTCCTTGTCCTGCGTCGATCGACGTCGCATCGACAGGCCGGGAATAATATCTAGACTTTCAGATTTGAGAAAGGGGCGGAGGGGGCATGTCAAAAGTGGGGTTCGAAGGGTGGAGATAAAGAATAGAAATCGAAAGAGGTAGGTGATTAGTTCGAAATAGGCAGAGACAGTAAGAAAGAGAGACAGAAAGATATAGAGACTTGAGAGAAAGAAAGATCGGCTTACCTTTGGCGTTAAGGAAATAACACTAATTAGAAGCGAGGATCATCGTCATGGAAGCAATCGCTTGACTGGCAATTCGTTTTTATTTTTTTTTTTAGAGGAAATGAAAAAACCTTCGTGAGAAAGGGAGATAGAGAGAGAGAGAGTAGAGTGAGTAGAGAGTATTGTCCGATTGCTCGTCCTGCGATCAATTCGTATCTTAACAGTCTCCGAAAATTGGAGAAAAATAATTACTGTACGGAAGCAAAAATTGGATGATTCTTATGAACACTTCAGTGTAAGTTTTTGAATTTTCTCAAGATAATTACTCTGATCACTAGACTGTCGATTTTATGCATTTATAATATTTACAATTGTCTGAAACTCGGTATAACAACACTGCTGAATAAAGCTCAATGAGCTTTTCATTTACTTGGGATTCTGATAAGAACAAAGTTAACAGTGTGAAGAATTTTCATTTCCAATTTCCATAAATTTTCCTAGAAAAATATTTATATTTACAATAAACATCCGCTGTTAAATTCTGTACTAGAGTCCTTGCGACATTAGCAATAATGCATAAATAGAAATAAAACATTATTGAGATCTTGATTTGTGCCGGAACGATTTAATCGTGTATTGTAAAAAAAGTGTTTTCGCCCGTAAGAATTAAATGAAATTAAATTAAATTTTCCAAGTTAAGGAGTAGCTATAATCAATGCAATACTCTCTGTACCACAATGTTCACTTTTATTAAAGTTTCGTTTCCAACACATCCTCGATCGAGGAACTTCGTTTAGTGTTCAACATAATTAAATATATAATTGTTCACACCGAAAAGATGGCCGTGGACGAGCAAACGCGTTCGCTGATCAAGACACAATCGAGCTTTTACACCGACTGTCGATCGGGCTCTCGGTCAGAGAGAGAGAGAGAGATACAGAAACATTTTTAAAGTCAGATAACAAAGCTGCAGTGTTTGTTTGTGTGTGTGTGTGTGTGTATGTGTGTATAAATCCAGTCACCAAAATGCCCCGAGGAAGTGTGTTGTACCGTGCACCATATTACCATTCCTTCCAAGATTAACATCGATCCCCCAATGGCGTATGTCCTTCGATCAAGAGCATTCGGGACAAATTAAACCCACAGCCGTTTTAGCGTTCAACAAACTCGCTTGTCAAGCAAGAAAAAGAACAAAGGAACACACAAGTAAAAAAGAAAAACAAGAAAAAGAAAAACGAAGAAGAGAGAGAACTGTACAAAGTGAAGAAGCTATAGCGTTTCTTTTCGAAGACGTTGTTTCAAGAAAACTGACGCAACGATGAAACTCTGTTAGTCGTTCCCATTCGAGATTAGATTACAATACTTATCATACAGTAAAAAACGACAAACACGTGGACACCACCGTCCACAACGAACAGAAACAAAGAAACATATCGTTAGAACCCGACAAAATTCCAGGCCAAGGGATTAATTTGCACATCAAACGTGAAAAATTCACCGTTTTTTGTCGCCCAAACCGTGCACAATGGTGGTTCGAGGGCAACTGTATATGTAGGAATATTGGAAAAAAGTGGTGACAATGTGTGTGTCGCGCACGGAATCTTCGTGTGTAATCTCGATAGTCGAAAACGAGTATATATATACATATATATATACATATATGTATAATATATTCGTCATACGAGATAGAACGAACTAGCTACTACAATAACCACAGGAGTAAAGAGTAAAGAAGTGTAACACGACCAATAGACAGGTAAAGGAGACAACGAACACGACTTATGTGACCTGGTCCTTGAATCTGGATAATCCTAAATTTAATTCCCCCCCTCCCATTGATCTTCGTTTTGGCACGATTAAATCTACCCTATAGGATCATCGATTACAGACTCCTTTCGATTATCGTCTGGCTTGTCCTACACGATTATTGTCCAGGCGTTATCCCCACCACTGGGGACAGGGTGGAACCTGTTAAAAGTATACTTTGTTGCCGAGGCTCGGGCTTTGGACAAAAAAAGAATTTACGAGGGTCTGAAGCATTCCTCCTTATGTGATTATTGTCCCGGCGCGGACCCGAGTTCGGGACAATAATCGAGAAGAGTCTGTATTTCGAATTATATAGACTTATTCAACAATTAACCTTTACACACGTACAAGAATAGTGTTTAATATACAACAACGGAATTGTGTGCTCTGACATTTGTTTGTAAATGTGGATTTTGTAATTTTGTAATTTTTGTAAAATTGGGATGGGTGTGGGGGGATCGTTTCGGCCAGTTTGAAGGACCAGATGGACCATGTCACCGATTACTCTTTCAGAGCGTAAGGTAGAGAGATATGTGTATATAATATATATGTATATATATATATAGTCTCGTGTGGTTTGTTCAAGGCTCGGTTTTTATGTTTCGTATGATGTGTTACCTTTCGTTAACTAGCTTGTCAGTGAACGGGTTTCGTGGATGTCGCTTCATAATATCGCTCTCTGCCTCCTCGTAGGCAAGTGAGATGGCTGGCACCTGACGTCACATTATCAACAGAAGCTCAGTAACAGCGCCAACAGGTTAAAATCAGATGAGAGTAATTTTGTTCGGTGAAACGTTTTTGGGGGCTGGGGTCGGAACGGATGGGACGCAAGGATGCTGATCGTGTGTCGGGAAACGAAAATCCTTACAAGTGAACAAAAAAAAAAAAAAAAAAAAAAAAAAAAAAAGAAAAAAGAAAGGAAAGAAAGAAGACAGAACGATTTTCGGTGATTAATTTTCTTCGACAATCAGCATTCTTGCGGGTGTGTCGTACGGTGAGCACGTAGGAGGGTAAGCCAAAGAAAAAAAAAAGAAAAAAATCAACCGAGAAAACCAAATCGATCGAAACGATGAATGTAAGGGGGTAAGGAGTGGGGGTTGTAGGATCCCTGGGGGATGAATCGCCACGCGACGATTTAACGCGAGTGTACGTTTTTTCTTTTTTTTTTTTGCAATCTTTCTCTCGTATTCGATACACTCCCGACGATCTCCAGTGGAAATCGGCTGAAAGAACCGGTCGATTCGTATTCTTGTGCGCAAGAATCTTGTTTCATCGGAGATCTACGGTATACAGGGTGTTTCACCTAATGCGAGCACCTTAAATTTTGCACTTGTTTTGTGATAGTAGGAAAACATGTGCGAGAAAAATATTCTTTGATTGAATGGGCTGAATACTGAAAAATTTCGGAAACCGATCAAGGTTCACGACCTTGAGAAAACTTTTCTGCTTATCACAATATTTATCCCTCTAACCAAATAATATTTTTCTCTAGCATTTTCTTTCTATCTTTAACAACAAGTAAAATATTAAAAATGCTCAAGTTAGGTGGGACCACCTGTGTAAGTTTCATAAACTCTTGTCAATTAGAATTACAAACGGGGCCATGTCGAGATGAATCAAGATCCTCGCATATTAATATTATACAAGCTAAAGAAAAAAAAGATCAACGATTCCTCTGCAGCTTGGTTTCCCCCTCTGTAACGCCACCTAGGAACGAAAATCAGAAAGAAAAGGTTAGACCTTTAGATTCTAGAGGCCGTCTACTTGGTTACGCTCCTACGCGTCGATCTGGCCTACTGCGATTACCGGAGCTCTAGCACGTCCTAGATACAAAACAGGTGACCTAAAGGGCTCGTAGGGGAAAATAGTGTACAACAACAAGCGATAATCGTGGCGGAGGATCTTTCCATTAAAAAGAACCTTTCGTTGACGAGGTTGTCGAACATCGGATCTCGAGGCTTTCGCTTCATAATGTCCGACTCGGCGTGCTCGTACGCCAACGATATAGCCGGCACCTGGTGATCAATTCATTTCACACATGAAATACCAAAAAAAAAACAAAAACAAAAAAACAACGATGACCATTATACGTGTTCCGTCTACGGAAATAGTGGTACAACAAAAAAGGAGAACATTCTCAGCTGAAAGATATGAAAATATTACAGTTCGGGGATAAGGGGGATCTAAACGATTCTTCGAGAGAGGGATCCAAAGGATGTAGAACCCCGGATCGAAGAGTCGTTGAGCTCCTCCCCTTTTAATGGATATTCCCCGTTAATGTTTTTTCTTTTTTTTTTTTTTTTTTTGTTTTTTTTTTTATCGATTGTTTTCATCTGAAAACGATCGAAAATTGTGGAGAAAATACGGTTGTAACACTCACCATGTCCGTTCCCAGATCGATGCAGAGAATAGTGACGGTGCCGAGGGGCAGAGGGATGTCACAAAGGATGAACGCCAGGAAGGGTGAGATTTCGGGGATGTTCGAGGTCAGGGTGTACGCGATGGATTTTTTCAGGTTGTCGAAGATCAGACGGCCCTCCTCGACGCCTGTCACGATCGAGGCGAAATTGTCGTCGAGCAGAATCATGTCCGCGGCTTGCTTGGAGACGTCCGAACCGGCGATACCCATGGCTACGCCGATGTCGGCCTTTTTCAGCGCTGGGGAGTCGTTCACACCGTCACCTGAATCATTATTTGTACTGTTGTTATTGCGGTACATCGAGAATATCCAACGTTAGGATAAAAAAAAATGGGTAACGACGATCAGGACATCAAAGTGTTACAGCTTTGAGGTCCATCCATTGCACTCTAAACGATCACATTAGCCAAATGTAATTAGAACTGGGTAAAATTCGGAGAGAAATTCTTTCGAATAAATACTATTTTTAAATAGTCGTTGTTCTAAGATTGAATTGACATATTATTTGAAAGAGAGTAAAGTTTCGTTAAAGAAAATATTTTTGGTAGTTATATAAAATAGGGGAGCTACCTCTGATTTCGATGATTTTTTAATATGTTGTCCAAGTCATCGTCCTGCATAAGTATTGTGAAGGTCTTAGTTGAGGGTCGCAGTGTGTAAGAATGTTATCAAAAAAAGTTTAATGTCGTACTTTAGTAGTACTGATAAGTAAAACGACCGCTGACGTTGACCTTGACATATGTTGCCAAGGTCACCTTTTTCTAACTGTCCCTAACCAACTCCGAATGAAAAAATATGTAACATCTGACAATAACTCTCCAAAAATAGTCGAGTTACTTTTTGAAGTGGTGTACTCGAGACTGATTCTATTTGGAAAACAATTATCCACCTAAAGTTCTTTCGATAATAACTTTTTTACCTAACCCAGACCTAATCCAAACCTTCACAATACTACTCAGAGTGACGATCCTAAACAACATACTGAAAAATCATCGAAATCGGGGGTGGCTTCTTTATTATAAATATTTACCCTTCCCCACCCACCAAAAAAAGGGATAAAATAAGAATCGAGATGGAATTTGGCATTTCAATTTCCGAGTATTAAAGCAACAACGTACCAGTTACAGCGACGATAGCGCCCATTCGCTGGCAGCCCTCGACGATGATGAGCTTCTGCTGGGGCGAGGTACGGGCGAACACAATTTCGGTGTGGTACCTAAGAATCTCGTCCAGTTGGTCGGAGTTCAGTTCCCTGAGGTCGGTTCCGTGGATTACGGCGGCCTTGGCCTCGCGTGGATTCACCTCGGCCACGGGGATGTTGAGCCGTTGAGCAATGTCCTCCACGGTCTCGTTACCTGATGGCAAGCATCGTTACACCGTAAGCCTTAATTAGTTTAGAATCCTTAGTTAACACGTTTTTTACAAAAAAAAAAAAATGATCGAGCAACGACATTGGACCACTTCGCTAGGAATAACCCTAATTTTTTCACGAGGATACAATATTCGTGCCCGTCGACTTTACGCGACCGCCAAAAAGAAAGGTTATAATAGTACAAATGGAACATTAACCTTCGGAAATGATGCCGACAGATTTGGCAATGGCTTTGGCAGTGATCGGATGGTCACCGGTTACCATGATGACCTTGATACCGGCTGAACGACACTTGGCGACCGCGTCCGGCACCGCAGCTCTGGGCGGGTCGATCATAGACATCAGCCCGACGAAACGTAGCCCGTCCACGGGGAAATTGGGGTCGTCGCAGTTGAACTTGAAGCCGATCGGAAACTTGTCGGATGGCAGTATGAAGTCACAGAAGCCGAGCACACGTTCGCCCAAACCACCCAGCTCTACGTAAGCATTATTGAACGCCTCTTTCATCTCTTCGTCGAGCACCTTTTCCTTGCCGCCGATAAAGATAGTCGCGCAACGATCCAAGATCCTCTCTGGCGCGCCCTTCATCACCAGCAAATGTCTAGGATCCTCCGAATTATCGGACTCGTGGATCGAGACCTGGTACTTGTTCGTAGAGTTGAACGGTATCTCGCAGACCTTCTTGTTCCTTCGTCTGATGCCCATCACATCCCCAAGAGCCAGTTCCATACACTTCAGCAACGCAGCTTCGGACGCGTCGCCGTTCACCTCTTTCTTTAGGATCGGTAGATCCTCCTGGCCAGACTTGAACTCCGCACGATTGCACAGTGTAGCGATCTTCGCCAACGCTTTGAATCCCGGACTGGTGCGATCGTACTGCAGACCAGACTGATCCTCGGTGGTGTCCGCCTCGATGATCTGATTGTCGAACCACATGTGCGCCACCGTCATACGATTCTGCGTCAACGTACCGGTCTTGTCCGAGCAAATAGTCGACGTCGAGCCCAGCGTTTCGACAGCCTCCAGATTCTTGACCAGACAATTCTTCGACGCCATACGTTTCGCGGTCAACGTCAAGCACACGGTAACGGTCGCGAGCAAACCCTCCGGCACGTTAGCCACGATAATACCGATCAAGAATATAACAGCGTCCAGCCAATGATAACCGAGAATGAATGCGATTACGAAGAACGTGACCCCGAGAAATACTGCAACGCCGGTGATCAAATGTATGAAGTGGTGAATCTCCTTAGCGATCGGTGTCTCTCCGGTGTCAAGGCCAGACGCCAAACCGGCAATCCGTCCCATTACCGTCTGATCACCACAGCAGATCACCACTCCTTTCGCGGTACCCTCCACTGCGTTCGTCGAGAAGAACGCGAGATTTTTCGTTTCCAACGGGTTCTCGTTCGTGAACTCCGGAGACCTCGACTGCGGTTCGGATTCCCCAGTCAACGAGCTGTTGTCTACTTTGAAGCCCCGGGACTCGATGATACGTATGTCGGCCGGTATACGATCGCCGAACTTCACCTCGACAACGTCACCGAGCACAAGCTCCTCCGCCCTGAGCATCAGTTTCTCACCCTCGCGAATCACGGTCGCGAACTGGGGTACCATGTTCTTGAACGATTCCATGATCTTGCTGGATTTGCTTTCTTGGTAATAAGAGAATATACCGGTGACTATCACGACAGCGGCCAACACGATACCGAGATAGAGATTGTCGTCGTTCGGGTCCTCGCTGGTCGTCGCCTGGATCGAGTACGCGATAAAACAGAGGATCGCGCCGATCCATAAAAGAAGAGCGAAACCACCGAACAGATTCTTGCAGAATTTCACCCATTCTGGGGTCTGTTTCGGCGGGGTCAACGCGTTCGGTCCGTCCCTCTCAAGGTTCTCCTTTGCTTTCGCATGGCTGAGGCCCTGTGGAACAAAAGATTTTTTTTTTTTAGTCAAGGGAAAGGAAAAGGAAGCTATTCAATACGCGTGACGAATGGAAGAGTTCTGGACGAGCATCGCTTACGTTCTCGGGGTGCGTCTGAAATCTCTGGTACAGTTCCTCGGGTGTGATTTTGTGGAAGTCAATGTCCAGCTCCTGCTTCAAGTCGTCTAAATTGTCCGCCCTCCGCTTTGGGTTCTTCCGCCGCGACTGTTCGAACAGAATAAAATAGAGAAACAATGTTAGCTGTAGTTTTCAAAATTAATGAAAAGCGGGTCAGAGGGAAGAAAGGTTTTAGGCTTTTTAGGAATGGAAAGGTTTTGTGCTATTTCTGAAGATTTCAAGTACTTTAGAGGTGTACAGGCTTTCGAAATGTTTTTTTTTTTTTGTATACGAGGAATGAAAGACCGTTGAATATTCTGCAGAGAATCGAAGGAACAGCGAGGATTTTGGAATGAAATTTTACAAAATTCGGTGACATCTTTCAGTAACATCCGAACATTCTTTGTCCGTCCGTTTCAAGTGAAATTTACTGTGACAGGTGTACTTTAGATTAACTCTAGGTCAGCGATCATAGTGCACGATATAATCGTTAAAAACATCGAAATGATGGATAATAGGATAGGACAAGTGGAGAAGGTGTGTTAACAACAGCGTGGTTTAATTACACAGTACCTATGGATCATCCTACGAAAGATCGTTATTAATTAAAGTACACACACTGTTCATTCCCACCGTAAATGTCGGGGGCAACTTAAGCCAGGGGATCCCCGTTAAACGTGCACACACGCACCAGAGACTGGACTAACAATTATCCCCTGATTAACGCACGTCGCAATCGTGCAAGTAAGCGACAAATGGAAGAGCAAAGATAGTTAGATAAATATCTAATATTTATTATATTATATATTATATATTTATACAATAACTTTATAATAATATATTATTATTAAATTATTATAATAAATATATAATAATAAATATTATATATCTATAAATATCTAATATAAATATCTAAATCAAAGATCCCATAGAGGTTAAACGAGCGGACCCATTATTAGGACCCAGATCATAGAAGCGATAGATGTTAATGCTAGGTCTAACAGAGTATATACCATGTGTGCATGTTAGTAATTAGTTAGTAAATGACGCGTCGAGAATCGTTAAGTCGACAGGAAAGACCATTTCAGGAAGATAAAGGGAAGCTGATAGGGCTGGGTCGTTAAAGGGAAGTTAAGGAAGAAAGAACCGTTAGAAGGCATTCATATGACAGATAATGAATAGTAGATCTCACACACAGCGTGCCTACTACCGGAAGCTCCAAACAGAAGATTTTCTAATGTTGAAGAGACAGAGATGACCTCTTTCAGAACGAAGAAAGAAAGCTGATTTAGGATTGCGTAGGGAATAGATGAGAATATTCTACGGAGGGTTTGACAGAGCCGCAAAGTATTTCCAAAGTGTTAATCAGTTGGTATGCTCGTTCAGATATGAACGATTAACCTCTTAGCTGTGAATAGCTGCATTTTTTTATGTAACGACGAGTATACTCGTCAAGCGAGAAAAATAATTATCAATCGCTATTTAAATTAAAATTGTTCTGAAGACAAAAACATATTTGTAAATTTTAATGATGAGTATACTAATGAAATATCGTCATTGAGTAAAAAAATGTTATCTTCTCGTGACGAATATACTCGACATAAACATCGAAAGGGTCGAAGAACCATCCCAAGGATAGGATGCCATGACGATTGACCAGGTTAAATAAATAATTCCAAGAAAGAAAGCGAGAAAGAGTAGCTGGTTAGAGGTCTCTTAGAATCAAAGAATATTTTCGAAGAAACAGGTTATTTTTGCAAGAATATTTAGTTTCGAAATACCATCACCGACAAAAGATTTTGCAGAAGAGATTGATCTCCGAGGCGAACATGTTTTAGAAAAAGTAACACCATAGAATATAAATAGAATGGAATGTAGATAATGATTATTACTATTTTAAGTGTTAATAATTTATACGTTCAGTTCAATTATGCCAATTGTTAATTAAATTTGATATAAAAAATTTAATGCATTCATTTTAACGATTATATAATTCAGTGTACATCAAAATAATGCGAGAGCACAGTAATTGACACACTTATTCTAGCTTATGCAAGAGAAATATATGAATTAGTCCCAAAGTATTCCAAAGAATCGCCATTTCCTATTGGAAATCGAGTAGAATGTTAGAGGCAGAAACGAAGAGAGAATGATCGATAATAAACCAACGAAGCAAGCCCCCAAGAAAAGTGTTTGTCGTAAAGTGGAGTCGCCGCGGGGACCGGAAGGTCCGCCGTGGAATACCTTGAACATCCCGTCCGCTGTTTTGTTGTCGTCGCGAATTTTCGGTAACGTCGCGACCCTGTATGAGTCTGAGCGGCCATGCTGTAAAAAAAAATGTATGACAAAAAAAAAAACATGAGACATGTGAATGAACAGAGAGACAAAAAAAAAAAAAGTACAAAATAAACCGTGAATATTTTTGTTGCCCACACAAGGGTTAAAGTGGAAACATCTCCCCGTTCGGTTGGCTAAGTGTTGACGATGTTCTGTTAAATTCTCAACGAAATTTCGAATTATTTAACAATTCCGCAAGTCACACTTATTAAACAGCCTCATTTGCCTCGGCTCGTGCAATTTTCAAACGCGGAAACGCTGTTTCGACGCGGCGACCTTCCTCGAAAATACACGTGGGCAGCGTGTGCAATCGGACACGTGAAAGAGACCGCGGATTGCCGTCAGAAGCCTAATTTTCAAGAGCGACCTCGCTGGGTACCCGACTCCGCTCGGCTCGGCGTTTGGATAACGACTGTTTCCGGTGCCATTTCAATGGAGGCGTACCGTATATCGCCCGTTGAAATCGCTCTCGACGGCGGTATCCCGTGATCGTCGCCGGGTATCCTTGAACGTAGAGCACACCATAGATCGCGTCTGGATCAGATTCCTCTTTTTATGGGATTACCATAGATCTTTCGGGTTCAAAATAATCGACATTTTTATGCAATTTTTTATGAAATCCTAAAAGGTATATATGTCTTAGGAATATTAAAAAAAAAATTACATTGAAAAATTCGCAAAATTACGGAAGTTACAGCATAAGAAGCGACGGCGGGACCAATACAGGTAGGGGTACCATAGGTATTTCGGGTTCAAAAAAATCGAAATTTTTTTTCGATTGTACTAAAAAAATTTCATTGAAAAATTCGGAAAATTACGGACGTTACAATATAAAAAGTGACGGCGGATTCAATGCAGGTAGGTGCCATAGGTATTGCGGGTTCAAAAAATCGAAACATTTTTTCGATTGCTTATGAAAACTCAATGGGTATGTCTTAGGAAAAAGTTTTCGACCGAACATCTAGCGGTAGAATAATCTAACCTGATCACGTTTCGTGGTCCACCCTGTACACTTGCCGAAGAATACAAGAAATGGCACGAATCTTCCGAAAATCTGTTACAGACTTGATGATCTTCCTCTCCGTATGCGGGTAGATCGAATGGAGTACTCTGACGCATACAAACGAGCTTCTGACAACGAACGAACAGATGAAAAAGCCAAGGGCATTACTCAGAGGGGTGGCGGTCCCCCGAACCATGGAGAGCCGATGACAAGTCACGAATTCACGAGGGTGAGCAGCCCTCTCGATTGGTCCCCAGGAAAAAAACGTATACCTTGCTCGATTCATCGATCCTCCCTCACCACCCACGAATTACTTCGAGGCTGCTGTCTGCAAGCGTTGCCTGCTACCGGAACTCGAGACATTTTACCACAATAAAGCACTCCCTTTTTAATTGAATTAATCTCCTGAACGATATTTATTACGTGGCTGACACACTCGACCCTCCTACATACAGTAATTTCTCGATGAGTGCGACGGACAGTTTCTGTTTTTAGCTTGGGAGCATTCGTGGCAAGGCGGAAATTTTTTCAGCTCCTGGTAAATTTGTTTTTTTTTTTTTTTTTTTTTTACACGAAGCCGAGCATCTGTTTAGTTTGTATCTGTAATCATTTTTTGTTAGGTACTCTGATGTCTCCACTATAAGCACCCACAAAGCTCATTCTGATCAGTTATGATATATTAAAGAACAACGTTGACACTATATTTCAAACAGCTGTAAAATCAACAATTTTCAAAATATTCGAAAACCCTTGGAGATACGTTTATATCTCACCAAAGACTGCAATATATTCAACTGTCAACAAAATCTGAAATGTAACTCCAAAAAATGTCCCGTTCCGCGTGGAATGGCCCCGAAAAATCGCTCGAGGATCAAACGAACGGACGTAGGGCCGCGTGACGTATCGTGGAAAGAAACAAAAAGGGAGGTAAAGAGATAGATAGATGAGCTCTAGTGGGTTTTCTATTGATCCGAATGAAATACAGACACAAAGGTACGCGGCCCGCGGCTGTTCGTCAACGATTTTAACGAGCGGTGTCGACGACAGTTCTCGTTCCGTCGAAATAAATTGCTTCGGATATGGAGCCGGCATGTGTGCGTGTGTGTGTGTCATGCCCTCGGAGATGCGCCGCGTGACCGATATATTAACGGTCCCGTTTCTTGTAAGGATTTCAATTTCGCGGCTGACGCGGTTTCACACGCGACTAGATGTCCAATAATTCGGAGGAAATCTGTATACACAGGGTGTTCCATTTGAATCTTTCATTTGAACAAATTCGTGATACCATCCATAATTCTGAGGAAATCTGTATATAGAGTGTTCCATTGAATCTTTCATTTGAAAAAATTCGTGATACCGTCCATATTTCGGAGAAAATCTGTATATACAGGGTGTTCCATTTGAATCTTTGATTTGAAAAAATTCGTGAGACACAAGAGTACATAATAAAAATTATTTCCGTTGAAAGCAAAAATATTTTCTAACCATGTTACAATAGCGGGGCACTATTTAAAAATTTGAAAAAAAAAAAAATGCGGATACAGTCCTATTTGTCCTGTTTATGGACAAATTATCAAAAGTCTGAAGTCTTCAAAGTTGGCCATATGAAAATTAATTGAAATTCGCGCTGCGTCGAATCACAAAAACTCCGAAATGTCACTCCCAAAAAGTGTCCAAATTTGCGTGGGTGGATCGTCTCGACGGGATCCGTCCGCCGATCAGCCAGGAAAACCATCAACGGCGATGGCAGCGCGATCCCCAGGAGTTTATAGTCTTTAACCCTGGCACGTTTAACTCGCTGAATAATTCGCGGTAATTCAATATACCAATGTAGACACACACGGTGGGCTTGAATTAACCGCGGTCGTCGGTGCGCGAACGTTCGCCGGAATGCGTTCACGATTAGATAAAAATGCTTCAGGGCAGAGGTGGAGGGAGGAGACGGAGAACAGGTGGAGGAGGGAGGACGATCGACGCACAGCCGTAAAAATGTCGTTGCACGGAGAGTCAGAAAGAGAGAGAGAGAGAGAGAGAGAGAGTGCACTGGCGAGTATGTCTGGGCCGCGGCGCGGTGCGCGCTAGCCAGTAAACGCGACAATTCCGCGAGACATTATTATCTCTCGTTGATCGTCACACGGTGGCCTCTCGTCATTGAGGAAGCACGATTATGCAATTTTGTTACGTACGAACACACACCTCGGCCGACTGGTCACACATATACCGTTCAATCAATGGAATAAGGGGAGGGGGGGGGGTAGAACGAAAATAAAAAAATACGGAAGCACCTTTTTGTTGAAAGAAGGAACCTAGGCAAGGGGAGAACTTCAACTTTCAGACTTCGATTTTAACCCCTTCATTCCCAAATGATTTAAAAATTACCAAAGAAATATTTTGCGTATAGTGAATGACATATAAATGATTCAGTAGGATATTTTAATTGAAACTGTCTTGTGCCATTCTTCATTCGAGGGGGAGGGGTTAATAACTAGAAAAAACAAGGGGAGGACTTCAACTTTCAGACTTCGATTTTAATCCCTTCAATCCCAAATTATTTAAAGATTACCAAAGAAATATTTCGTGTATGTAAATTAGAATTATTTTATTACAATTATAGTACGAAACGTATCGTTTAGAACAGTAAGAAAAATACGAAATGAGGAGAAATTGGGACATTCACCTTACACAACCCTATGGACGCGGGAATCGCGTCCTCGGGCGCCAGGTCTCGATCGATGAAGCGACGTCGGCGGGACAGGAGGGTCGGAGGGGGTGGGATTCGGTACCGTGGGGAATCCACGAAAATCCTGATCGATAGCCAAGGCTGACGACGCACGGCGCAGGGCTAATCCAATATAGACCGCGATAAAGTCCGCATGATGAATACGATCGACCTTATGCAAATTTCCATAAACCACCGCCGAGTCAACAGAGTCAGAGACAGAGAGAGAAATAAAGACAGAGGCACGGTGACACGGTTCGTAGGGAAGACTGGTGACAATTTTGAAAACACGGGACGAATGTGTAACAATTGCTATACGAAAAGAAAAATATTTTCTCTTAAGGCTTAGGTTTCGAGAAAATCGATTTCGAAATTTTATCTGAAACACGTCAATTCACCATAGTGGTAAGTACAAAACAGAATGCAATGAACAGACGCGCTAGACCAGTCCTATTCAATTACCTCCGAATCTAACAGATCTTCAAAGTCGATTTTCTTGAAAACTAAGCCTTAAAGTATTGAAAAAAAATACCAAAATTCACCAACAATCTTTCCATCCACCGCAACTGTCGCCAACACGCAAAAGTATTAGCGATTTTCCTGATACACGAACCTACGAATAATATTCTAGTATATAACATAGAAACTGTGGATGTAATATAGTCAAAGTTTATACGGTTTGATTATGTTCTCCAATATGATCAAGACTTGTCATTGTGCTCGAATTTTTTGGAAAAAAAATTTACAAAATTTTCTAGTTATACAGACTGAAAAAAGCAAATTGTTACGTTTGTCCCTGGTCTCCCCCAACGTGCGTATGCGCGCGAGCGCGCCTCGGACTCGCGCGTCGGGACCGGAAGTGGTTGTCGGGCAGGAAAACGTCGCGATAAGGCCGCGGCGTTCCGAGTAGAGACGCGGCCAACGGATCGACCCACTGTTCATTTAGCAGATTGAACCTCAGTCTCGAGGTTTGGACCAACCTATTGCGACGGAATTAATCGAGTCTGACTCCGTGGATAGTAACCAGATCCAAATGTATTATATGTATAGAACTAGAGATGGGCAAACTCATTATCTAGATAAAAAGTTTCGAATAACGAATAAAAGTTAAAAAAAAAAGTATTTCGTTGTTTTTAAATGTATAAACGGGGAAATTTCAATTTGAACGTGTAAACGAGCATTTACGTCGCGTTTTGATCCTTTAGGTGGAACGTTACAGAAATTCCATGGTAGCATATGAAATCTATCGACTTTAGAGTTTCATTT